GGTGCCAGCTCTTTCCCAGGTAAATGATGTACCAGTGCTATGCATAGGCTTTGGGAGGTTCTCTGATACAGTGAAATAATCTCTCCTTTTCGTGAGTTCTTGAATAATTGCACTGGATTTGCAGCTATTTGAAGAACTTAACATAGGAGGAACAAGAGCAGAAGATGACAATGGTAAATGAATGTAACCCTTTACACATTCTTTGGTGTTTCAAAGATGTGAGATTAGCTCAGCTTTTTCTTTAGGATATACTGCTGTTGAGTCATGTCTGTTGTATGTGCACTACCATTTGGATGCTCCTTCAGAACCTCTTCATAGCATCGGTAATTGCTTAAAAAATTGTTGTTTCTTATGGCAGAATGGGATAGAACCTCACTTGGACAGCCCATCAGTTTTTTCAGATCATCATTTCTGCAACCTCTTCTAAAATCCTGCAAGGTATGTCTAAGCCCAATTGGTCATGTATCTATGGCTTATGAAAATCCCTGCTTAAGCTGAATCATGATATTGCAGGAGGAGATGGAGAGCTCCTACAAAGCAAAACTGCAGCAATCAAAAAGTCCCCTGAGCTGGTAGTACTTTCCAGTCATTCATCAGTCTTCTCCTTGCTTAATAGTGAGATACCGTGTAAGCTATTGGGTAATCAATGTTATCATGTTCCTTGTAATGTCATTATCAAGTTAGAATAATCTTCCTGATCAGCATTTTATCATAGAAACTTCACTACCGTTTGTAAATGTCCAAGTTCTTTTTTCCGAGGAAGAGACCCTCTGGAATGCTCTTTTCCCCCGATGGTCACTGGAACGACCGTTCAAGTAACTTTGAGCCTGGAGGAAACTGAGCCATCCAATTGTTTCAGCAATTCTGGCCACGTCTCCGGTTGGACTGGATAGATATCGGTAATGGGCTGGTTAGGAATACGGGGCTGAGCTATGGATTGCACTTTTAATTATGCCTGATCCTTCGGGACGTTCTGGTTGTTTGGCATTTTTTCTGTTCTAAAAAATAATAAATATTAACAAAAAAAAAAAAAACTAAATCTCCTAAGACCATTTATTATAATAATTAAAATATGAATTTGCCACTGGGAAAAAAAGTTAAGATTGAGGATAAAAATGGTTTTTTACCATGATATAGTTATTGTTTTAAAATTATATGGGGTTAGATTGATAATTTTGTTTTATTTTATACAATAAAATATATATTTGTATTTTAAATTTTTTAAGAGTAATGTAGTTACTTGTTTTTAAAGATAATTAATAGAACTTTCATCTGTGTCTTTTTGTTATTTTATATGAAATTTTTAGTAAATTTTAAAGGTATTTTATATTAATTAAATGTAATTTTAAAGTAATCTATTGGTGCGTGTGTGGCACGTGATAGTGTGTGGATGGTTTTTATGTTGTTTAAATAGCTTGTGGAGGGTTATTAGGTCATAAAATGCTATGTTTTTGAATGTTGTTTAAAAGGTTTTGACACTGATATTAAAAGAGGCGATGTGTGCTATCTTTTTGAACGATGAAAGGTTTTGACACTTGTATTAAAAGAGGTGATGTGCGTGCTAAGATTTGCGGTGGTTTGATGTTGGTGTCTATTTTTATCCTTCACTTCTCTTTTCCATTTAGATTTACACACCAATAGCTTTTTAATTTGTTGATTTTTTAAATTTGATTTTTTATTATAATTTTTTTTATCTTGAATAATTTATTAAATTTAATTTTTATTTTTTTAATTATTTTTTTCAATTAGTTTTTTTTTTATGATTTCACCTCATATTTTTTTCCTATAAAATTTAATCTCTTCTTTTAATTGTTAATTGTTTAGTTGGGACAAGTTTTTCTTTTAAATTATAAATAATTTTATTTTATGAATTTACCATTGTATTATGATGTTTAAAATAAATAATATTTTTTTTTTCTTATCAAATTTAATCTTTATTTTTTTATTGTTAATTGTTTTTATTGATAATTTTTTAAAATTTATATTTTTAAATTAGATTATAATAAACCTCTTAATTGGATTAAGATCGAGGTTTTATGAGTTAAGAGTTTTTAAAATTTAACTAGATTTATAATTCGGTTGGGTTTGCTTGATTTTTATAAATATTTTTTAATTTTACTTTTATAAATTTTTTTATCTTTAAAATTTTGTTCCCATTCTATTAATTTTTTTATCTTAAATTTTTTGTTCTCATTCTTTTAAATATTATTTATTTTATTTGTTATTTTTCTTGTGATTTTTCTATTAAATTTCATTCTCCGTATTTTTTATTGAATTATTTGATAATTAGGTTTTTTTATTGAATACAGTTCAAAGATTTCATAAGTTTGAAAGGTGGTGGTTTACTTTTTTTTTTTTTGTAAAATCATGTTTTTTTTGTTTTTGTTTGTTTTGTTTTGATTTTATTATATTAACTTTTAACAAAAAAAATTTATTCCACTTATTATCATTTTTTAATTTATAAATAATTTATCAAATTATAATTTTTTTTTAATTTTACCCCTTATAAATAATGTTTCAAGTTTAGTCTTTGTTTTTTTATTTGTAATTTTATTTGGATTTTTTTTTTTAATTTCATTCTTCTCAAGTTTTTGGTCAAATTGTATTCTTTTTTTATTTATGTTATTTTATTTTACAAGTTTATTTTATTAATATTTTATGTGATCTCATTTTTTAAAATTAAATTTATTGATAGTTTAAATTTCTTGATTAAACTAATTCTAGAATTTCAAAGTTGCAGACTGCAGAGATAAAATTTAAAGATTATTAGATCAAATTTAGAAATCTCGCTCGGTTTTGCTTGAATATACAAAGTAGGGTTGCCTCTGAGTTAGCACGGTCTGGGTGGGAAGAAATGGGCTTTGGGGAGACCATTTTGCAGCTGAGGCAGGGCTGCATTCTCCAATATATGATTAGTTACAGATTTCTTTGTCATTGCATCGAGGCCCTGTAGGTGCTTAATCCTTGCACCTGCACCTGCACGATGAACGTGCATATAAAGCTCGGGAACTCTTTTCTTATCAGAATCTTAACAACTGGATTGCAATCAAATAAATAAATTTGAATTCAATTAATAATTTATTGTAATCCTCATATTTGTTATAAAATATTAAATTATAAAATTAAATTTAATTATACTGTTAAAAATAAACTACATTAGCAATGTTGATTGTTTTGCTTTTAATTTAGAATTTTTTTTTATTACGAGGATACTTATATTCATTTAAAATGATATAAAATATAAATATTCTAGAAAACATTAATTGTTTATTAGACAATTTTTGAAAGAAAATTGAAATACATGTGTGTGAAATGAGATTCTACAACCACTTGGTTCAGCTAAAAATTGATTTTTCAAGTGTTATTAGAGCTCTACGTACTTGATGAAAATAATAATGACTAACAATTTTACTAATAAAAGTTTTATGCAATTCAATTCACAGGGTGAAGGACCCTGATTTTAAACCCTCTGGGGCTACTTCAATCGGGACGCTTGCCTGTTGGAATTCCCGAAGCTCTTCTCTGCCGGGGAAAGATAGGAATAAAACATGCAATTCTTTTAGTGCAAGAAATTGGGGTCAATTACTACACATCAATCCTTAATAAATCAATAATAACGTCCTAAATTGTCCAAAAGTTTGCACTTCTGTAGTTGAAAGAAGAGTCAGAAGCCTGTGGATTTACATCAGAGATACAAAAGGTGAACGCCTACATATCCTCAGGTCTTGCATCCCACCTTCTCTTGCGTGTCCTCGGCACATCAATCCCAGAAAGCAACTTTGCTACCACTGCTGGTAATGGCGCCGGTGTAACTTCAATGAGATCCAGATCCGCGTCATCATCTTCATCACCACTAATCCATCCATAGCAGGGTCTGCGCCTGCAGGGCGGCACAGGGGACCTAGTGTTGCCCGGTAGTTGAACACTGCCAACATTCATAACAGCTGCTCCATTGTCACTGTTAATTTGCTTTTCAATGCAATTCTCATACAGATTTATATCTTTCCAGCTGCTTCCTACTTTAGATGCAGGGGTATTACCATCTAGAAAACAACAGTGATGTAATGTGAATAACTCCACAGTCCACAGATATGTTTGGAGGCAATTCCATTTAATTGTACAAAAAAGAAAAGAAAATAAAAGAACAGGCTTCTTTCTAAGTTCACTGATTGTAAGGAAAGTTTATTCAATGCTGTCATGTTGAGTAAAAGAAATCCGGAGAAGAAAACTTCAAAAGTTGGCTATTCTTGAATTTGAATATCTAAAGGTTACTTTTCTTTTGTTTTATGGCAAAACTTTGAGAACAGAATGGAAAACTGATTATGAGATGCTTTACCAAGTAATGCTATGTCCGGATTTGCAGCCTGTGATGTGCTGAGTAGAACTCTGTTAGTCTGAGATGCAGGGGCCTCAGCTTCTGTGCTGCGGCCAGTCGATACGGAAGCACCATTTGATGCACTGCAAGCTGATATCTCGATATTGTTTCCCCACCTCTCATTCTCTCGCAGCGTATTACTCTTCAAAATAGATGGAAAGAAAAGAATCATGAGCAGAAAAGTAGTCAGTCCACGAATATAATTCTTTCAAACCGTGATGCAGGACAAATGAATTGAAGAGGATAAGAAAAGCAGAAGCCCAAGATACAAGAGGAGAAAGTTATGTCGGCAATTTCTTTAATCAATCATCAAAAGGTGCCAATCCTGCAGAAAGATACACTTAAGCAAACCCTAATCAAAACATGATTAATAATTGGGATAACGGTTCGCTAAAACAAGATAAGTCCACAATAGGATAGACTAAATAAAAGCCCAATAACATGAACTTGAATGTGCGCGATCTTCCGTTAAAAGAATGATGAGTTGAACTATCCTCTCTTGTCTTTTACCATACATTTGCTTGATCTGTTTCGCGAGTGTGGTGTCCCCACAACTTTCCTGGAGTTTGAAAAACTCGATCTTGTTAAGTGTAGCTTTCAGTGGCTCTGATAGTAATGTTATATATCATAATTAATCTGCTGCAATGTATCTTTAGTGATTAAAGTATCATTCAAATTAGATCATCCTGCCCAACAAACTAAAAATCGCTAACCCTCGCAATCCCTAATAAAAACAACTTGTTGATCCAAAATATCACCAACATATTTCTTTCGTGCTGATGAAAAGGATAATACACTAGGGGTCTCAAGAATAGAATCGGATTTTATTGAACCATTTTGCTTAAATTCTAAATTGGATCTAGCTTTGTTCTAGAAACCCCACAAAACACGCTTTAGAGAACTTTCTTGGTAAACTCCACATTCACCAAACTAATGGAGTGAAATCCCAGTGGGACTTTAAAACCATAACCAGACATGGGGCGATAAGGATCTCTTTTGCCAAGTCCTTTGGTTGCGCCAGTTTGCGCAAGTATAATTGCAGAACGCAGTTTTTTCATGAGACTTAGTAAGCCCCATTGTCAAGGATCTTCAAATAAACAATTACTAACAAAGGAGTGTTGTCGGAAGGATATGAAAATTAATAATTTCAAACAAACAGAGGGGCCCCTGGGCATTTTGGATATAGTTGTTCTTACTCAAGCCTGGGATCACACGAAAAACTACATTCACAAACATCGTCATGGGCAATTCAACTTGGTTCCCTCTTTAGTTGTCAATAAAATTGAGTAACAAGAAACCAATCCCTGCATATCTTTTTCGGTTTTACCATGAACTAAAGAGTTTTTCTCTATTAAGCCATATGTGACCGGTCCAAGTAGTTCAGTTGATTTTTGTTAAGTCTCTCATTAAACCAAAAGTGAACAAAGAGAGTGAGTTGTAATGTTTCATTTTCCATGACTAAACAATTGATTAATGAAAGCCACTACTCAGCTCTGTCGGAATTCAAGTGGGGTCTTTGTCAAATTGAAAACCACTTTCAGTCTTCTCTTTCCGACACCAGTGAAATTGATATAAAATATACAGTCTGTAGACAAAAATACAAACAAAATATATAAAGCAAACAAAATAACTACATGAATTAAAAAATATTTACCTTTTCCTGCTCCTCCTTTTCAAGATCCTCGAGAATTGCCTCGAGCAAGACCTTATATGAGCTCTCTTCAATAAAGGGCCAACCTTCCAGACCATACACCTGAATCGATAAATTTCCCGTAAAACCCCTAAATGCCTAACACATTGAAAATATTAAAAGCAAAAAAAACCCACTTCCAAGAGCCCTTTAACAGTTGAAACAGTCAACCCATCAGAGAAACCATAGCTCCTCATTGCATCTACGGCTGCATCCATCCTTGTGAGCCTCTGAAAAAAGAAGGAAAAGAAAAATGACAAAGGGGTCTAATATGAGAAAGAGAGTGAGAGGAAAAAAAGAAGACCTTTCTGTGGCGTCCTGTTGGTCTTGGTGCGTTTGGAGGCATGGTTGATTCTTCCTTCTCTCTGTATCTCTCTTTCGGTGATGAACTTTACAAGTCAGCCAACAAGCCAGCAACTGAAAAGACAGACTACAGAAGAGAGAAGAAAATGAGGAAGCAAAGGTCACACCTTTTTTATGTCTCTTGGCTTCTTGTAACCACGGCAACAAACACGAAGGAAGATGGAAATCACCTGGTTAGGCTACAACATTTTTGAGGGGGTAGAAAGTAGAAACTGAGATGTACTGTTAATAAGAGTAGCTGCTCAGTTTTGGTTGTGTTTAGGCACTAGTTTAAGAACAAAATATTTTATATACGAAGTAGTTTCAAAGAAAAAAAGCACACAACGCATTAAAAACACAAGAGAGGAGCTGTCATGAAAACTCCTTCGGGTGTCATGCTGATCAGAGTAGTCAACGCAGGTGAGGTATTTGCCTACGTTGGTTACTTTGTGCAAAGACCTCAATAAAATGGCCCTGGAGATCGGAAACGGAAAAAAGTTTACCAACAGTGAAACAACCCAGAGCTGGAAGAACTCCCTCACTTCACAAAAAGTACAAGTACCTAGCACAATCAATAGTTGTTTGGATTGATGATTGTAAATATTATGGTAATAATTGTTTTCTAAATATTTTTTATTTGAAAATAAATTAATATTTTTAAAAGTTTTAAATTTTATTTTTAATATTAACATATTAAAAAAATTTAAAAAAACTAATCAAAAGAAACAATCAAAATATTTTCAAAAATATTTTTTAAACAGCGATTTTTAGATAGCACATCACTATCTTTTATGGCAATGTTTAAAGTGACAAATCAAGAGTTTTTCAATGGCAGCGTGTGTGATGATTGAGGATAGATGGTGTGCCTCCAGTGAACTTTATTCTCGTCCTTTTTTTTTTCTTTTTTTTTTAGTTTTTATTTGTTTTTATATTTTTAAAATATTTTTAAAATAATTTAAATTTTTTATTTTTTATCTTTTAGAATTTAGTTTTTTTTCAATTTTATTCTTCTGCTATTTAATTTCAGTTAGTTTTTATTTTTTTAATTTTATTTTTTTTTAATTTTATTTTTCAATATTAAAAATTACAATTTAATACAAATCCAGTATATGCACCTCAATTTGCCCCGAATAAATTAGTGTTATTTAAATTGTTATATTATTTATCGAATAATAAATAGGGTGTGATTATTATCAAAACATACTTAGAATATAAATTTGAGCCAAAAAAATATATATTTATATTATATAGGAATATGTGCAAAACATTTTGATTATCAACATAAAATGCAAATACATGTATAATATTTATTATTTTACTGTTTAATAATTTGACACGTATATTTTTCAAATTTTATCTAATAATTGATAGTTTTTATATTTTTTTTATTTTATCTTTTATTTAATAATGGATAGTTTTTATATTTTTTTTATTTTATCTTTTATTTAATAATGGATAGTTTTCAGATAATACATGCCTATAAGGATTAATTATTTCATCCCTTGATGTTTTTTTATGGTTGCATCGCCTGATAAATAATGTATAAAGCATGAATGTTGTCAGAACCAACATGAATCCACCTAAACTTAGCTTGAAGAGTATACTTATATTTTTTATATATAATATTTGTTAATGCTGTATGACATATCCATGCTCAACGTTGACATAAAATTACAATTTAATAATTTAATACACACACAATTTATATATATAATAGTTATATGATTGATACCCACACGGTAATCAGAATTCAATTGATAGTTTGTGGATATTTATATTTCTCACTTAATGAATAACAAATATAACATGAATAACAAGAAATTCGACATGCAAATACTCATTAACATTTATATTAATAATTTTATTTTGATTTATTTTTGCACCGAATTTTATCCCTTTTTTTTAGTGCTTTTTTGTTTTGTTTTGAGTTTTTTTTCATTACTTTTTTTTTTCCTTTTAAATCTCATTCATTAGTGTTTTGTTGTTGAAAATTTTATTTTATGTTTCAAATATTAATATGGATTGACTTCAATCTTTTTTAGATTTTTTATTAATTTTTTTTCTAGATATCATCATTTAATTTTTGATTTATTATAAATTAATCATCGTGTTATGTTTTACTATCTTTCTTTTTTATTATCTCAATTCTATGTTTATGATCATGGGATTAACAAGTCGACACAGCTTGATCTAGATCTATTTTTTTTAATTTTTTATTATTTAATATTAAATTATTTGAAAATTAATTTTTTAATTTTTTATAACATAATTACCTTCGAGTTATGGTTGTGTCATAAATTTGATATGCTTACCTTGATGAATTCAAACAAGTTTTTTTTTAATTTTTTTATTAGTTATTTGTTTTTTTTTATATTATCAAAATTATATAAGATTATTGAATTGGTTTAAATTAATATTTGAATTTTTTTTTAATTGCTTATTTTGCTCTAACTTCATTTTTTTTATTGTAAAAAAATGGGTTATAATCTGAGATATCGTGAGTTATCTCTATAATAAAAAATTATGAGTATATTTGTTTTTATGTTTTAAATATATTTTTGAATTTTAAATTAATATTTTATAATATTTTTATATTATTTTGATTTACTAATATTAAAAATAATTTTTAAATAATAATAACATATTATTTTAATATATTTTAAAAAATAATTATTACATTAATTTTTAAACGGACAGCCTTTCAATAACATGACCCAACCATGGTAGCACACCGATCCATTAAACCACCGGAGCGTCAAAATTACCCTTACATCTAATTCAAAATAAGAGCAAACCCACCTACTCAAACCCGAAAAAAAAAAAAAAAAAAAAAAAAAACAACATCGTCTCTGCGCCCCCTGAAACCCTAGCTATCCACATCGCCGCGTGTTCCATCTCTACAGCAAACAAAGTCGCAGAAAACAGGTTTTGCGATTCGTTCGAGAAGGAATCAGTCGAAGCAGGGGGGAATCAAGATGGCGCGGAAAGGCTTGATGGAGCAAGACTTGAGTAAATTGGATGTGACGAAGTTGCATCCACTCTCTCCTGAAGTTATATCGCGTCAGGCCACTATTAATATAGGTAATTCTTTGATTTTGTGAGTAGGGTTTACAAGCTCATTTGTTGATTGCTGTAGTCGAAGCTGATAATTCTTCTTCTTCTTCTAGGTACTATTGGTCATGTGGCGCATGGGAAGTCTACTGTTGTGAAAGCAATTTCTGGTGTTCAGGTGATTTAGCTGGTTTTGATATCCCTGTGTTATGGTGCTTGAATCTTTAATCTATTTTCTGTCGGGAGTTTACTGTGCTTATGTTATGTGAAAGTAATTGCTACAGGGATAGGTATTGGAGCCGGTGAATTCCATTTAAAACCTAGAGGAAAACGTCTTAATTTCTTTTCCTTTCTTCTTTTTCCTTATGTAATGGGAGGCCTTCCAAGCCTGAGGTTGACAGGAGTGGTCTTTCCTCTCCCTATCCAATCCCCTTCATTTGTAGTGTAAATATGATTTGGACTTAGTTCATTTGATATATAATGCAAAATGACCTTGCCACTTGGAATATAACATAATAATTATACTACTGATTACTAAGGGATGAATTTTTTCTGAATCGTGTGCTTTTGGAATTGGTCCTTTTTCGGATGAAGGGGGATCTAGCGTTGTCATGGCAAGAAATCCTCCCTCAATATTTTATATTATCACATATGGATAAAGTAAGTTTTTTTTTTTATCATGGTTCCGTGGAGGAGCTGTGGTGTTTGCACAGGTTTTTTAAAATTTTAATCCATGGTTATGAGTATGGGAGCTTATATTCTCTACCTATTCATACATAAGAATCAGTCATACTGTGCATGAGTTTGAGGGGTGCTAATTTTGGCGGCTTGCTATTCATGTGCAGACAGTTCGTTTTAAAAATGAGTTGGAGCGTAATATTACAATAAAGCTTGGATATGCAAACGCAAAGATATACAAGTGCGAAGATGAGCGGTGCTCTCGGCCAAAGTGCTACAAGTGAGAAAATGCATTGGTGGAGCATTACTATTTAGTTTAAGTACTGGCATTTCACTCTTAATGTGAGAAATTTTCTTGTAGGGCACATGGAAGTGGAAAGGAAGATAATCCTGTGTGTGATGTAGATCCCAAACACTGCAGGATGAATTTGCTGAGACATGTCTCTTTTGTTGATTGCCCGGTAAGGTGTCCCGGTGCTCTATTTAATTATGTTTTTTCGGAGTGTAACTTTTCATATTTTGATTGTTGGATATTAAGGCTGCCTGGTAAGTGGTCGAACCAGATGCTTTATTTAATTATGGTTCATGCACTGTATATGCTTTTCATATTTTGATTGTAACACATGAAGTTTTGGACCCAAAAGTCTCTTCCTCCAGATATAAATTAGATGTGGTGTTGGTAGATTGTTTCTTTTTCCCATTGTACTGCTTAGATTATAGCAAGAAAAAGTTGGCTAATCACATGGTCTCTTATGTAATTGGCTTTGCTAAATAAAACCTATTAGCTGCAATGCTTGGTGTACTTCTATGCTTTTATGTGACCAGACTCGTCCATATTACTTGTTTTCTACTCTCCTGTAGGGTCATGACATTCTCATGGCTACTATGCTTAATGGAGCAGCAATTATGGATGGAGCTTTACTGCTCATTGCTGCAAATGAGAGCTGTCCCCAACCACAGACTTCTGAACACCTTGCTGCTGTTGAAATCATGCGTCTCCAACATATTATAATTCTTCAAAATAAAGTGGATCTTATCCAGGAAAATGCAGCCATAAACCAACATGAAGCTATTCAGAAATTTATTAAGGTTTGCTACCACTATGCTATTTTTACACATCTCATTGGTTAAGTTTATATGCATTGTTTGTGTTTTTTCCTGATTTTCTCCCCCCCTTTTTCCCCCCCCCCCCCCCCCCCCAAAAAAAAAAAGAGAGAAAAAGAAAAAGAGACTCATGCCTTGCTGATTTCTTGTTAATGTTTTTTTTTCAGGGAACTGTTGCTGATGGTGCACCAGTAGTGCCAATTTCTGCTCAGCTAAAGTATAACATAGATGTTGTGTGTGAGTACATCATAAAAAAGATCCCGATTCCAGAGAGAAACTTTATCTCACCACCTAACATGATTGTGATTCGATCTTTTGATGTCAACAAACCTGGATATGAGGTTGATGAGATAAGAGGGGGCGTGGCTGGAGGAAGCATCCTCAGGGTATGTTTTTAACGTGTGGTTGGTTAGTTTTGTTATGCAGTTTTTACAGACATGGGGTCTATACTTGGTGCAAAATCTTGGTTACTTTGTGCTGGATTGCCATGCATTTGTTCTTATTCTATTCAATGCTGTCCTGCGTTCTGCATTAGGCCAATGCCCTGAGCCCGTGGAAATGGAGACATGCTTGTTTTTAGCATGACTGTGTCTGTTTGGAGGCTGAGTTTTACTTGTTTGAGGTCTTGTGGACTGACAATGAGAACTGACTTTAGGCGTTGGGACTCATGAGGCCTTGATTTAGGTTATTGAAGCTTGCTGTGTCCATGTAGATACTATGGTCCTGAGAGAGATATATTTATTTATTTAGTCTTTCTGAGAATCTTTGGTTTAAGAGTACTGTTATTTTTGTTTATCATGTCCGTGCAGGGTGTCTTGAAGGTCAATCAATTTATTGAGATCTGTCCTGGGATCATTGTTAAAGATGATGCTGGGAACATGAAATGCACCCCAATATATACTAGAATAGTATCACTGTATGCTGAGCAGAATGAGCTACAATTTGCTGTGCCTGGAGGTCTCATTGGTGTTGGCACAACCATGGACCCCACTTTGACACGTGCAGATAGGTTGGTGGGTCAGGTTCTTGGTGACGTTGGATCTCTTCCTGAAATTTTTGGTGAACTTGAGGTAAGGAACTGAATCTGGATAATGTTTTGTAGCTTGATATTTTTATTGATACCTTTTGTATTCAATCCAATTTCTTTTCAAGTCCAAGTCATAAATGAGCAAGTCATGTATAGTTATCTATAGGTATGTATTTTTACGCAATATGTATGAAATCCTACCCTGTTGGGTTGAATTCGGTAGCTAGGTGGAGTTCTATTTTTGGCATAGGCAGGAAATATTAGACATCCCGTTTGCTTTCCAATATGCATGTGATGGTGCTTTCTATGTGTTGCTTAAAAACAATATTGCAGTAAACATGCCTGTGAAAGTCGCAATTTTTTTTCATTGGTTTCAGCAAGTGTCTTTTTCCCCTTTGGTCTGATTTTATCCCCTCGCGTGTTGCAGAAATGATTAAGGGGTGTATGGGTGGTGCTTATTGTGATGTAGGATTCAGACACACCTCTGATGCTAATGTTGTGCCCTTCTCTTTTCTTTATGTGTAGGTGAATTTCTTCCTTTTGAGACGGCTTATTGGTGTCAGGACAAAGGGTTCGGAGAAGCAGGGAAAGGTATCAAAACTGACAAAGGGAGAGATTCTTATGCTGAACATCGGGTCAATGTCATCTGGGGCTCGAGTTATTGCCGTGAAGAATGATTTGGCAAAGCTACAGCTGACTTCTCCAGTCTGCACCAGCAAGGGTGAGAAGATTGCATTGAGCCGCCGAGTGGAGAAGCACTGGCGGCTCATTGGGTGGGGTATGATTCAAGCTGGAACCACCATTGAAGTTCCACCCTGCCCTCTCTGAGTGTTTTTTGAACAGGTAGACCAGCTAGAGAAAAGCAGTAAAACCAGGATAAGACAGGATTATCTAATATGTGGGAAGGGAGGCAATTGCTTGGATCAATTTTTTTCCGGTGGCGAAGAAAACATGCTGCGATGAATGGCTCATCTCGTTGTCTGTGTTTTGTTTTTTTCTTTAATATTCCAATTTTTAACCGCGAGTCATTTTGAAGCATCCTGGTGATCCGTGCTCCACCACCGAGGGTAGTATAAATTTTTTCTAACCTTAAAAAGTAAAGACGCTAGCAAGAAATCTTTTTGATGCGCACTGCACAACTTCTAAAAATGATATTTTATTAAAAGAAATATTATAACAATGACACCCAGGATTCACATGCATCAATTATGGATAATCCATGAAATTTG